CGGTTAGCCTATAAAGCACTCCGGTTAGCCTGTTTACGGTTAGCTCATAATAATAATGGTAAGAGAAACACGATATATACTTAAAAAATACCGAAAGCTGCCGGCCAGTTTCGGTGGCGCAGTGGTACTGAGTATCGCTTGCCATGCGGGCGTCCCGAAGTCTAACTGCCGGTCATTTAGTCTATTTAAGGCGGAGGTCTACATGAAGGCCGTATTTTGGCTGGGTATTATGGTTTTAACGCAAATATCTCGTTCACGTTTCAAGCAGTCAAGAATATCTCGGCTCATCCCACATATCTATGTTTTGGGCTGTTCTGTAAATTTTTTGGTGATTTTTAGGTATATTTGGAGATAGATAGTTTTTCTCAAAGGTTTAGTAAAATTTATGGAGATAGGAAATTTTGAAGATTTGGAGTTGTTTTAAAATTATAATTTGAAGTTAAAATTTGGTAGACGTACACCAGTGGTGTTCCATAACCTTTTTTTCCCTTTAATGCCTCTTTAAACTTCCTAAAATTTCACTTAAATTCATGTTTACCCCCGCCTTAAAACCTTGACCGGCTGCCGGTCATATAGCCACAGTTGGAAGAAAGCGACACGGACCTTTCCATTTGACTTCTGACCGAAATGCCCGGAATCTTTGGCATAATGAAAGCGGCACCCATTCAAATCCGAGCTGTCCTACCAAAACGAGGGATACGATTGAGAGTATGCTTTCTTTGCAGCTAACAAAAATATATGTATATAAAAAATAAATTTACACTGTCAATCAGTTTTACGTATTTCCGGTATTACGAAAATATCGGCTACATAAAAACACGTCCCAATGTAAAATTCTCATTGTACCTGAAGAAGGCTGGTTTGGCCAGCCGAATTATAGTACACCTTCAAAAAATCATCCTACGTTGCGTCAGTTTTTGCTTTTGAATTCTTCATTTTACATGTGAAGCTGATTAGATCACTATTGATCCAACGTATACCAGCAGGATCATCGTCCCGGTTGCTTGCTTAAACATTTCATAAAATATAGACAATGCTTATGTTGCTTTGCCTTCTTTTAATAACTAACTCGAAAATTCTGGGTTTAATTTGACAAGGAACAAGATATTTTGTTCAAAATAACAGAACTGTTATCCTACCTGGCGATACTCCGACGATGAACGACGAGCGACGAACAACGAGCGACGAGCAACGAGCGAGTTGCCGGACGCGGGTGACCCATTTTTGGCGCCAAATTAAATGCTTGGGGATCACACAAAATGTTTCATATTATTCACTGTTTACAATCTGAGATGGGTTTGGTATTAACCCCTTTTCACGAGTATTCCATGCCATCTCCAGTGGGAAAAGTTGTCCGACTTCAATGCTTTAGCTGTTATAAACATAAATTGAGTTCAGGACAGTACAGTTTTTCCTGACTACTTAAACCTGATTGGTCAATTTTCAGGCGCACCAGCCGCATGCAAGGCACCCTCCTGTATGTATTAAAGATGTCTCGGTTCCAGACCTCGTATTAGCTGACCGCATGTTATGAAAAAGTCGAGGGATGTTCGTCGAAAATTTTAATTAAACCTCTAAGGAAGAGCAATCTGGGCGTTTCTCACGCTTTATTCGACCACTGAAAGATACCAATTAAAACGGAAATGACAGCGGTTTTCTGAAATTATTTCTTCGAGGGAACCCCAAAAAGATAACCCCTTTGAATACCAAACTTTCGCCAAAAAATACCGTTTTTAACCGTTTAGTCAGGTTTTTTAGCTGCCAGGACGCTAAATAAGCCTAAGTTTTGCTAAGAAAGCTTTTTTTTACTAATANGGATCATTAGCTTCTTGCATTATTATTAGCACATAAGTTTTTCTCTCCGGATGCCGAAAATAAAATTTAGCCATCAATAAAGTTACCTCAATAAAGTTGCCTTTCTGAAGAAGCATGTTATGAGGTCCAGTGTTATAGTTTTTTATCGTACCAACACGAAGTTTTCATACTATCACCTGCTTTGTCTAATCTCGTTCCCAGGCTCCACGCGATTCTTTTGGTCAGTACCAAGTATCGAGACCAATAACGAAAACGGCAAAGATAACGGTAATACAATGATAATGACACTGATAACGATAACGATAATGATAATGATGATAATGATTACCTTTTCACAATTTAGACTGCATTTGTTTGAGGAGACTTCGTCAGTCTAAAACAAAACGTGACGTGAAGTATAACTATTAGAGACCGAAATGTTTTTGCCAGCTGGAGTGCCGCTAGTTACCTCTGCAAAGAACTAAACTACTGACGAAACTCCGCCATAACTTTCAGGAAGCCAAATCGAATTGAGCGGAATTTCAGCCACGATATAGCATGAGAGGTTGCCTTGTGTTACGAAACTTTTTTAACCATTTTTTATCGCTATGGAGTCAATCAGAAAATGCTGTCTAATTTGCACTGGAAATTAACGGATTCTCTTCAACTGGGATGGTGTGACAATCAGGTAGAGTTGCGTTACGGCTGCGTTACGTTACAATTACGTTCCGATTCAAGTGCCTCCAAATATTAAATATGCATAAGGTCGCTTACAATATGGCGGTGTTGTGTTTCCTGCTCTTTTTTCTTACTGTTAAGACAGCTTTTTCTGCTAAAATCTTGGGATACAGTGCTTTTGGTTCGGGATCTCATTACTACGTCGTCAGCAGTCCCCTACAAGAGCTTGCTTCACGAGGACACGAGGTACTGATCAAAAACTGAGCGCTGTAACTTGCTGAATCGCGTTTATCGATTAATCCTGACAGCCTAAGGAAAACGGGTCTGTGCGTGACCAGAAAGCAATACGCAATCCGTTCAGATATTCTACCAAACAAGAATCTACAAAACGTTTTTTAAACGCTCAGGCTTGTAGTCAGTTAATTAGTTAATGCTTTGCTTAACTCGGTTTGAACATTACGTGCACTGACATCCGCATCAAATATCACTTTTACGTCTGTTACAAAACTGTTCTCTGCGGTTCTCTAAAAGTTCGCTCCGCCGTCTCTGGGTGACCTTTGTATCTCAAGGTGTTTCTAAGGGCTAGAGAGAGCATCCCCAGCCTCCAGTGATGTCCAGTTATAGACAAACTGATACGGTTGGTAAAATCAACTTTTCGATCCCTACAGTTTGGCATAAGTATGACTATATATCCATATGTATATATTCATATATTGGGTCTGTATTCAGGCTCGTATAGATACTGTGCGAAGAATTGAATGCATGCATTCTCATGTCTAATTTGAGAGAGTTACGCCTGTTACGTATTGTCTGACCGAAAAAATTTTATTTTAAAAGAACAAACCCCAAGGGTGACAGTTAAAAACAGGTTCTGACGTAATGTCTGTCTCAACCTCGCTCCCAGGGCCTTCTCCGCGATGATTTTCAAAATCGCTGAAAAGTGAAGAAGCCTTGTGTNATACGCAATCCGTTCAGATATTCTACCAAACAAGAATCTACAAAACGTTTTTTAAACGCTCAGGCTTGTAATCAATTAATTAGTTAATGCTTTGCTTAACTCGGTTTGAACATTACGTGCACTGTCATCCGCATCAAATAGCACTTTTATGTCTGTTACAAAACTGATTTCTGCGGTTCTCTAAAAGTTCGCTCCGACGTCTCTGGGTGACATTTATATCTCAAGGTGTTTCTAAGGGCTAGAGAGAACATCCTTAGCCTCCAGTGATGTCCAGTTATAGACAAACTGATACGGTTGGTAAAATCAACTTTTCGATCCCTACAGTTTGGCATAAGTATGACTATATATCCATATGTATATATTCATATATCGGGTCTGTATTCAGGATCGCATAGATTATACTGTCCGAAGAATTGAATGCATGCATTCTCATGTTTAATTTGACAGAGTTACGCCTGTTACGGATTGTCTGACCGAAAAAACTATTTTTAAACTAACTTAAAAATTTGTAGGGAACATTACCGGGGTATTTTAAACAACAAACCCCAAGGGTGACAGTTAAAAACAGGTTCTGACGTAATGTCTGTCTCAACCTCGCTCCCAGGGCCTTCTCCGCGATGATTTTCAAAATGACTGAAAAGTGAAGAAGCCTTGTGTCTGTCTTTTTTCTTGTGTTTTGATTCGGGTTATTTTCAGTTAACAAATTAAGGGAGGCTCTGTCAGAATCAACGGCTAGATTCTTCAAATTTGAGCCTTAACTGTTTTGTTTTTGGTTGGTTTTGTTTTTGTTCAGTTTTTGGTNAAGTGAAGAAGCCTTGTGTCTGTCTTTTTTCTTGTGTTTTGAATCGGGTTATTTTCAGTTAACAAATTAAAGGGAGCTCCGTCAGAATCAACAGCTAGATTTTTCAAATTTGAGACTTAACTGTTTTGTTTTTGTTCAGTTTTTGGTTTTGTTTTTGAAAGGTTGCAATGCTGGTGTCCTCTGATAGGCCAGCAAAAGCCAATGAGAAAATCACACACAAGACTTTTCAAGTTCCCTACAAAACTGGCTTTGTTGAAGATTTGCTGATAAAACCTGCCCTCGCAGGGGGCAAGTATACTGTTGGTTGGAACTACCATAAAATTCAACTGGTCATGTGTGAATGTCTATTGAATAGCACCGAACTCCTGCAAGAGTTAAAGAATTTTGATCTGATTGTTTTTGACGCCTTTGCACCATGTGGTGTGTTACTCAGCGAGGTCCTTTATATTCCGAATGTCATGGTAGTGACTGGATCTCCCAATGATATCTTCGCACCGTATCGCAAAGCTCCCTTACCATTGTCTTATGTTCCGATGCGTGGATCAGGATTTCCAAGTAACATGACCTTCATTCAGCGGGTTAGAAACGTATTTAAGTATTGTTTCGGCAGAGTGCTACTCGACCTTTTGTTCATTCGTACAATGGACGAGATTAAAGTCAAATTCAATATCAATCCCGAAAGAAGCTACAGTGAAAGTTTTTCAGACTCAGCACTAGTGCTTTACTTGGCAGATTTTGCTGTGGACTTTCCGCAACCTCTTTTACCAGGTGGGTTAATCACATAGAAATATACACTGTAATGGCATGCAATGAATGTTTAATCAACCAATCAGATGGCAAGAAGACCATATCATAGCTGACTGAATTGTATGATTGATGCATTGGCAGTTTTCTGTCGTTATGACGTGACTCCAGAAACTCGTTATGGAAAACTGGTCGCATATTATAATTATGAACTCGAGATTTCTAGCGCGTGATCGTTGACTTGATATGTGCGATAGAAATAATGTTTTTGTTAAATACAGTCGAATCTCCCGTAAGCAACCATCCAAAATGTCAAGCCTTGGTGGTCGCTAATGGGAGGTGGTCACTTAGACTCAGCTTAGCTTAGCTTAGACTAACGTGGGTCATAATTTTGTCTCATTAGCATAAGGTAGCTGCAGACGCTTACCCCATGTTTTAAATGTTTTATTCATGTGAAAAGTCAATTTCGAAAAAAGTTTAGTACTTCCCATTGAGAAATTTCCGTCTCTTGTACAACCCTAGGAATATGAAAATGTTACACCACCATATTATCCGATGTTGATCTATTATCTGTCAAGTGGTCGCTTACGGTTGGTTGAAAAGAAAAGAAAATGTCAAACTTTTAGCTCTAAAAGTGGTCGCGGTCTCTTACGAGAGGTGGTCGCTTACAAAAGATTCCAAATATAGTGATTTGACTTGGAAACTTTTGGTATTTTGGAAAACTGGTCGCTGAGGAGAGGTGTTCGCAACCAGAGGTTTGACTGTAGGTTATTCCGTTAAAGACATTTCAGTGGCGGATCTAGAGGAAGGGCACGGGGGGCCCGCCTCCCCCCTCTCTTATTTTGGGTAAAAAAAAAATTGGAGAAGGAAGAGCCGGCAGGGCAGGCATTAAAAAAAAACGCCCCCCCCCCTCCCCACTCCACCACCCTCCTTAGCTCAAGGTCTGGATCCGCCACTGATTTGTATATGCTAGTGCTTGACCTAAATTTTGATATCTTTTGTCTATGTAAGGTTTTAGGATTTTTCCACTAGTTTTGAAGATAGACTGCTGTTA